CACTGAAAGAGCTTTAAACTAGATTTGAAGGAGGAAATGGATAAAACCAGACTCACTGTAGATAAACCTGAGGGTGACACACCAGTGTTTGAGGGGCAGTGTGCTAGCAAGATCCTTTGATCTGCCATCTCAGTGGAGGTAGGTGATGAAAATCCATGCAAAGACACAAAGGTCATATGTGTTAGAAGCCACAGAAGCATGTGAGAATGGTCACGTAGGAATTGGGGCTTCTCCCCGCAAAAAGGTGGTGGGATCAATAGCCAAACTCAATTGTGTCTACACTAATGTACCTGGCATGAGGAACAAACAGAAGGAGCTGTAAGCCATTGTGTAACAGGAAAACTATGATATAGTTCTTATCATGGAAACATGGTGGAATGACTCACACACTGGAGTGCTGCAGTGGATGGCTATAAATTCACCAGAAGGACTAAGCAAGGAAGAAGAGATGATGATGTAGCCCAGTATGCTAGGGAATGTTTTTATTGTCCAGAGCGTAGTGATGATGAGCAACAGGGTTGAATATTTATGGATAGGGATCAGGGAGAAGGCCAGCAAGGTTGATACAATTGGAATCTGTCGTAGACCACCCATCCAGGATGAAAAGGGAGGTGAAATATTCTAATAAGCAGCTGGGAGAAGTCTCACAATGGCCAACTCTTGTTCTCATGGGGGCTTTTAACTTACCAGATGTCTGCTGGAAATGCAACACAGCAGAGAGGAATCAGTCCAGGAGGTTCCTGGAGTGTGTGGAAGAGAATTTCCTGGCATAGATGGTGAGGGAACTAACTAGAGAAAGCACCTTGCTGAACCTTTTGTTTGTGAACAGAGGACTTGTGGGTAATGTGATGGCTGGAGGCCATCTTGGGCACACTCTATCATGAAATCATAGAGTTTTTGATTCTTGGAAATGTAAGGAGGAAGAGCTAGCAGAACTAGCACCTTGGTCTTCTGGAGTGCAAACTTCAACATGTTTAGGAGATTGATTGACAGTCTCTTGTGAGGCAGTAAATTAGACGGACTTAAGCCCAACTAGAACTTAATACTGGCTACTGCTGTAAAAGACAATAAATATTATTTCTATAAATAATTTGCAAGAAAAAGAGGGCTAAGGAGAATCTCCATCCTGTATGGGATGTGAGGGGAGCTACAGCGACAAAAGATGAGGAAAAGGACAACCAAGTGATCAAGCCTAGTCAGAATGGATTTATGAAAGGCAGGTCCAGCTTGACTAACCTGATCTCCTTCTGTGACAAGGTGACCTACTTGGTGGATGGAGGAAAGGCTGTGGATTTTTCCTACCTAGACTTTAGTAAAGCCTTTGACACTGTTTCCTACAGCATTCTCCTGGAGAAACTGGCTGCTCATGGCTTGGACAGGAGTCATCTTCACCGGGTAAAAAAATGGCAGGATGAGCAGGCCCAAAGCAAGGTGGTGAATGGAGTTAAATCCAGGTTGCAGCCAGTCACAAGTGGTGTTCCCCCAGGGCTCAGTATTGGGGCCAATTCTGTTTGACATCTTTATCAATGATCTTAATGAGCTGTTCAAGTGCACCCCCAGTAAATTTGCAGATGATACCATGTTGGGCAGAAGTGCTGATCTGCTTGAGGGAAGGCCCTGCAGAGGGATCTGGACAGGCTGGATCAGTGGGCTGAGGCCAATTGCATGAAGTTCAACAAGGCCAAGTGGCGGGTCCTGCACTTGGGTCACAACAACCCCAGCCAGCGCTACAGGCTGGGGGATTTTTGGCTGGAAAGCTGCCTATTGGAAAAGGACCTGCAAGTGCTGGTCCACAGCCATCTGAACATGAGTCAACAGTGTGCCCAGGTGGCCAAGAAGGCCAACAGCATCCTGACACGTATCAGAAATAGTGTGGCCAGTGGGACCAGGGCAGTGATGGTGCCCCTGTACTTGGCACTGGTGAGGCTGCACCTTGAATACTACATTCAGTTTTGGGATCCTCACTACAAGAGGGACATTGAGTTGCTGGAGTGGATCCAGAGATGGGCAGTGAAGCTGGTGAAGGGTCTGGAGCACATGTGAGGAGTAGCTGAGGGAGCTGGGATTGTTTACAGCCTGCAGTAAAGGAGGCTGAGGGGACACCTTGCTCTCTGGAACTACCTGAAAGGAGGTTGTAGCAAAGTGGGGATTGGTCTCTTCTCCCACATAACAACAAGAGGACAAGAGGAAATAGGCTCAAGTTTCCCCAGGGAAGGTTTAGATTGAGTATTAGGAAACATTCCTTCATGGAAGGTGTCAAGCATTGGAGGAGGCTGTCCAGGGAAGTGGTGGAGTCACCATTCCTGGAGGCATTTAAAAGATGTATAGCTGTTGTGCTTAGAGACATAGCTTAGTGGTGGACTTCGCAGTGTTAGGTTTATGGTTGGACTTGATGATCGTAAAGTTCTCTTCCAACCTAAATGATTCTATGATTTTATGAATCTGTGTTTTTTGGTGGTTATTTTTTAGTGAAGTTCTAAATACCATTAGTAATTGCTTTATTGTTTTATGGACACAGGCTCTAAGATGGGATGAATAACTATTAGGAACTACCTGTCTTTCTCTATTGCATCTGCATCAATACGTGCGATTTGGCTAAAATTAAATGAGATTAACTAATTTTTTGTCTTTAACTCTCATTTCCAGAGTCATATTTTTTAATGAAAGAATATTCAAAATAAGTTGAAGTGTATATGTCAGAGTGACAAAAAGCAGAAAATTAGGGAAAAGAAAGTTAGGAAAAAAATATTTTTTCCAGCTGAGAATTAGCTTCTTCAATTATGTATGTGTTTGAAAGTAGGTTCATGTTTTTTGAGAGTCTCTGAGTTCTCAAAATACAAGAAAACATGTTCAGTTATCAGAGGTGATGAGATTCAAATCATGTATTAACCAGCTCAACTATGTACACTGCATAAAGGTTGTGACAATTTCTTGTAAAATAATAAAAGTATCTCATATAATTGATTCTTTTCATTGTTTCATAAAATTGCTTTGTTTGATTGCAAGAGAGTTTGGACTGAATTTTCATTACCTACATCTGAACAATTTACACTGGGATTGAGACAGTATTGAGCTAATGAGTTAGAATTTATATTGAACCTTAGCTGTCTTCATGAAGTAACTATGGAAAGAAAATCATGGCAATAACGGAGTATTTTTCATTATATACTATGTTATACAGCTTTTACAATCAGGTTTTTAATAGATCTAGAGAAATTAAATTGGAATTCTACCAGCTTTTGTGCTTTTGTCATCCCATGAAAACGATGTTAAAAAATGTCAAGACCAATGTGCTAAGTCCCTTTCTACTGAAGTAGGAAGAGGTGGTATCAGTTCTGTTGTTTTCTGGGCAATGTTTTTCATTAAGTAGTAAGATGTTTATAGAAAAACCTTCCAAAATATGCACTTTGCTGTAATCCCTAATGCTAAATAGAAATTGAGTATAGATTAAATAGGTCTTGACTGATGTTATCCTCAAGTCCTTATCAAGAGAAATTCCCATGAAAATAGTAGAAACTTTGAAAGTCAAGAGGGTGAAATTGTGCTCTAAATGAGAAAGGAAGCAGTCATATATTGCTGATGGGTATATATAATACTGCTGAGAATGCATGCATATATACATATTTATTAATATATTCAAGCATTGTTTATTGATTGTATATGATAAATAAACTCATACAATGAGTGTACAGGTTACTTTGTATGCATAAAGAGACATGTACTCAATCTCAGTGTTATACATAAATATGTGCCGTGAATACTATAAGTTCTCAAATTAGAAGATTTTAAACTTTTTGTTATATATAAATGGAAAAATTAGTAATGTTATATAGTTTTTAGTATTGCCCTTTGGTTTTATCCTTCTATTTAATTCTGCAGGTTTTTTTTATGAGAAGGTCTGAAATAGTGGAAAAGGGTATTTCTCAAGTATATGAGTTATTGCTTGTCTCAACACTTATTTGTCCACATTCTTCCTTGCTTCTAGCTTGTTCCACTGCCAGAAGACTGCAGGAATTAATTAATAATCCCTTACATTTTAATTAATAATATGGAATAAAAATTGAATATACAAAATAGAATTGTCAGCCAAGCACATGCATGCATGTTGGTGCCCTCAATAAATTAAATTTTTAGTTAACTTGTTATAATGTTTATTTATTCACAAATAAAAGAAGAAATATCACTGTAGTTTAAATTTTACTTGACATAACGGGCAATACCCTTTTTCTAGACATTTTCCAGGCAAAATTACTCTCTTACATATAAAACAAATGCTGTATATAGTTTTACTTGCTAAGAATGGCAAAAGTATATGTAAAATATACATCAAACAAAAATTTCATGTGAATGAGCACAACTAGAATACTTTTAGATTTGTGTTATAAGTCTTAACTGAAAAAAGTTATCCTTTTAAGAGGGTGAAAAAAAATAGTCCTTCCCCTAACTACATATTAAAATATATATATATAATAAATAAAATTGCCACTTGCAAAAAAAAAGGTTAGATTGCTGACCTTGCTTGCAAATTCAGACATTGAAAATTTGGAGTCTTCCTTCATCCAAATAATACATATTCGTTCCCCACAGGCAGCAGTGATGGTTCTTGGGATAAAGAAAAGCTTCAGTCTCCCCCCACCCAAGGATCACAGGCCTCTGTTAACCACCCCAACTTGCCTGGACAGCATAATGTTCCAGTTAGCCATCCTCTCAACCCTCTGCAACAGAACCACCTTCTGCCGAATGGTACGGGTTGACATCTTTCAGCTCTAACAGCAGTTTTCCAATTCCTGTTTTTATTTTACGTTTATATAAATAGGCTATGGAAAATCAAAGATGTGAGGAGTATTAGAATACTTCCTTTAAGATATTAAGCAGGGGAAGCGGAGACAATAAAGAACAAATACATATGCAATAAAATTGATACTTAAAATAACTGCTAACCTGTGCATCAGTGGCATAATAATGCATTGCTAAGGCACCATACTGCAGATATTAAAAAAGATAATAAACAGCCATTGCTTAGCAATGATATCATACATTACACTGATATGAACAAACTGAGAGGTCTAATAGCCTCTCCTTGTGGCAAGAAACTCTCCATGGTTTTTAGTGATTTACCCATGCACATCCCAGAAGAGAACTGGCATCGACCTGCTTTGTCCTGCAATGTGAACCATCTTCTCACCCATCACTTGACTATTGTCCATCAGGAGAAAAGACAACGTTTTCAAAAGATATATAAACCTATTTCCCTTCTTTTTTTTTTTTTTTCCTGCCCACCAGGATTGGAACTTCCTTTTATGATGATGCCCCACCCGTTAATTCCCGTGAGCCTACCTCCAGCATCTGTCACGATGGCAATGAGCCAGATGAACCACCTTAGTACCATCGCCAACATGGCAGCAGCAGCACAAGTGCAGAGTCCTCCATCCAGAGTTGAGACATCTGTTATTAAGGTAATTCTATAGAAAACTCAAAACAAACCCAACACAACATTCTAGCACGCTCACAACTGTCATAAATATTATAAAGATAGGTAGGTGTCCAATGCTGTAAGGTAAGTCCTCAAGTCAATATGTACGAGAAACCCAGCTCCATGCAGCTCAGGGAACACAGCAGGATGCTTTTGGCCAGTGTTATCTTCTCAGTTCTCCTCCCCAACTCTAAATCAATATTAAGGCAGTACTCAATTTGAAGCATTTTCATACGGACTACAGCTTAGTGATATTTCATATTTCATAAAGAGCCATTCAGTTTAAAGTCAACAAATCTGTGTTGCTGTTGGCCTAGATAAAGTATGGTCTGATGACTTAATTTGGATACCTGCACTTTCAAATGTAGGCTCTCCTTTGGAGGCCTTTAGTGACATCCCCTTTGTCACTTTTGATGGCATAGGGAGTTAAGACATTGGTTTGAGAATTGTTTCTTTCAGTTGGCAAGGGTAGATTCTACCCTGCTGTCCATCTTGCCCATATATTGGCATAAATACTCTGCTGCTTGATTACATGATGTTTTCTGCACCTTTTTTTTTCCTGTTTTCACATGATCAGTATTTAATAAGAGTTACATGATACTACGGTTTTCTGGAACATATGTAGTGCTCTGTTTCAATCTAAATTTATTTTGTTAATTGGAACAGTGACTACTGGTATTACAGAGGTATCAAAAAAAATTAAGGTTGGGATGGAGCACATGCTAAATGATGCCTGACAAGTATGAATTACTAAAGCAACAAAACTTTGTTTTCCCTATTTTTCGTACTATTTTTCCGGCTTTCATTTTCTGTGAGCTATGTGATTTCATATGTAAGAGTACAAAATTTGACCTTCACAAGCCTACCTTCGGTAACCTTCTGTTTCTAAACTTTGACAACCTGACCTCTAGCTTGTAAAGTTGATTTACAAGCTAGTTTTAGCTGTTAACGTTGCCTAAGTTACTGTAGCCTACATTTAAATATGTCTGTGGGAGTGTAGCCCAATGTGACCCCTGACCTTTGTCTCCCGTTACCAAAACCAGGTACATTTGAAGTACAACATAGCTCCCAGGCTATGTAAAAAGTTCTCTTTTCCTGGCATGCTCACAGATCTCACCCCATTATGGGAACATTGTTGGACCTAAGAAGCACTTAACTGAGAAGTACTTCTGGCTCAACTGATCCAAACCTGTCTGGTAGATTTAAAAGTATTAGACTCTGAAAAGGAAACTCTGTCATCATGTAACTATGTGTATTATTTTAACTATAGGCAGTGCTGTACCAGAAAATTTTCCTTAACCCAGAGTTCCTTAACTTCCTAACAAGTTCATTCCTGTAGCTCATCTAGTTGGAAAGGTAATTTCATTATAATCTAGGTGAAGATTTTGAGTTTTAATTTGAAACATTTTAGAAGCGCTTTGTAATTGAAATTTTTTTTTTCAAAATTTTGCTTATTTAAGCATTTGTTTGTATTAATAATCTACACTAATTTTCTCTGTTATTTCTGAATAGTCAGCTATCCTGTATTCATGGTAATAAAATCTTCATCACAGCTGCCAACTTTTGTGCAGCTCCTGGCATAACATCTTGTGTAAGTTATTTAACAAACCAGGTTTTGTGTTCCCATCTGGTGTGCACATAGCCATAAATTAAGAAGATGTGAATTTACAGTGAAGAGTTTTTAGATGGCCAAATTAACCTAAGTTCTACTTAGAAAAGTGTGCTCACTCAAGGGTGAAATATACGTTTTTTAAAAAGTTTGCAGGATTAGGTTAGAGTTTAGGGATGTTTAAATAGAACCTGATGGAGGCAGTACCTAAGTGCTCTTAGTCAAGTCCTCTTCAGTCAAGGCCTGTGTCGCATTGGCCACAATACATTTGTGCTACAGGTAAATACACAAATAAAAGTGTTAATCTGCCACCCAAAACCCCCTTCTAAATGTAAGATCTTGCTGCGCGTAGTTATTTCAATACTACTCTAAGGGCTACTTTTGGAGGACTTTTTCTACTTTTACTTCAGCCCTTTTGTGGTACAATGTATGTCTAGATTTATGTCCTCTGGTTTTGTGTGTGGCAGATGAATGTGAATAGACATAGCACAGCCAAGTAATCATGTTCCTATTTTTTAATGCTGAACAGGACTGAAACATTAACTCTAGCAACATAAAAGCGTGATGTCGTTGTTAGGGGGACGTTACTCCCATGAGCATGGACATAACATTGCTGGCAATTTACCTGTTCTTCTGACTACTAGGTGTAGTCAGAGGCTGTGATTTTAGCGTCCGTTGAATTGTATGCACTGAGCAGGAAACTCTGTAATCAGCATACTTTTTGAACCTTGCACTGTCGATGCAAAGTTTATGAATATTAACTTATAAAAATAAATATCTTAGAGAATAGATGTGAGTGAGAAGGTCAAGCCTCCTTTTTCTTTATTTTTACAGGAATGGATAAATAGTGCAGTTGCTCTCTTTCACAAAACTGTTTGTTGTTAGAATCATATCTTTCTCTTTTTTTACTGCTACATTTTCAGACTTTTTGGGTTTGTTTTCATTATCTTCTGGCTCATTTTTAACCCTAATTTTGCTTAAAAGTTTTTCTTCAGTGACAGCGTTTCCACAAGTTGATTTAAAAAGTTTGTGAATTGCTCATCTTGGAGTTCATAGTCATCTGAAATGACAGAATAGATTTGAAGTTTGGCTCCAAGATGTACAATTTCAAAGTCTGCTTGAAAGTGCAAAGTGCTGTGAGAAATTTCTCCTCTGAAAGAGTACCCTTATCTAATTAAGTAACAAAGAACAAAATTAAGTCTTAGAAAATCCTAGTCTTCAGATTATAAACAACCTGGTTCATTGGATAGAAGAATTGCCATTGTGAACTGTGCCACAGTAGATGACTTGCTGACCTTTCCTTCCAATTCACTGAGTTCACAGTTAGTGCTGTTATCTTTAAACTCACAAAGCTTCAAATGCCTTTCTATTATTGGGCAATATTTCATTTCTTCATGATAAGGAGTTGGAATAAAGCTGAGATCATGTACTAACCAAGCATTTTATCCTGCTATGTTCAGGAGATGAGACAAAGACAAAATTACCAGGGAAGCCTCACAAAGCGAAACCTCAGATTTGGCAGTGAACTCTGAGCTCTAAAATCTTCAGAATTATATTTCAGAAGAGTGCTGTGCCCTTTTGAACACGAGTCAAACATTAGATGTCTTTTTGTAATGGAATGTTTAGATATATGAGTTGGATGAATAAGAGGAGAGCAACAACAAGCAGGGACAGCAGATTGTGACAGCAATGAATTGCAGTGAGTGTGACAGCTGTGACCTGGGGATGCTTTAGACATGAGGTGGCTTTCATCACCTGCCCATGGTTTCAAAGGCTCAGCTTGTTAGCAGTTTCACTACATCATTTTTTTTTTCACTCAGCAGAAAGATACGTGAAAATATAAAAGGCATACCTCATATTAATAGAAACTGGGAATAATACTACATTGTAAAAGTTAGAACCGAAGAGCATGCCAGAATCAAAAATTGCGCTTTATCCATTTAATGCTACTGATACTTGTAGAAAGGATTAAGTATAAAAGAGAATCATCCAATACCTCCAGCTGAAAAGGTGGCCAGTGACATAGTAGTTTCTCACTGCATATTAAATACGTGAGACTAAATTTTGCTAATTCTCTAGATATTTTACAAGATTGGTTGCTTTATACTTGTTTGTAACCGCTTGTTTATATTTTAGTATATATACATATCCTCCTGTTACCCAACAGCAGAAATTTACTATTAATTTATTTACCCAAGGTATGTACTGACAGATTTTTTTTCTCAGTTTATAGGCTTATTCTGACATGAATTTTTATTTTAACATTCACTCACTTTTTCATTTTTCATTGACAATATCTCTATTCATATTGATATAATTTAATGTTCCTGCATTTTTCACCTATATATGTTGCCAAAAAGTCCAAATAATAGCCAGAGAGAAGAAATATGACACTGCCAGGCAGAAATGACAGAACAGAGTGCATTTAGATGTCTTGTGTCAGAGTGGTGGTGAGCAAGGACAGAGAGAGAATCTGAAAAGAAAAGGGAAAATGAGTAAGTTCACTTTGTGGAGCGGATGGTGTCATGGTTTGAGCCAACTGCCCAGGCTAACATCAAAGAACCTTGTGGCTGCTTACTCACTGCTCCCCGCACCTCCATCCGCACAGGGATGTGGAGGGAGAAAATTCAACTAAAAGAGTTCAAGGATTGAGATTAGGACAGGGAGGGACCATTCACCAGTTATGGTAATGGGCAAAAAATATAGCAGACTTGGAGAGAAAATTGAATTAAATTTACCACCACCATTTGTCGACCAGCTCAGAGTAGGGTAGTAAGAGGAATACATAAATAAATACAATCTGCTCTTACCCACCCCTCCCCTCTTCCTAGCTCCCTCCTCCCCCCCATCAGTACAAGGCGGGGCAGGAGGGTGGGTGATGCAGTCCATTTGACCCTCCACTCCTTCACAGTCTCTTTCTCCCCTGCCATGGGGTTCTCCACGTACCGTCGCATGGTCTGAAACTGCGTCAGGGGAGGTTTAGGTTGGATCTCAGGAAGCCCTTCCTCACGGAGACGGTGATCAGGCGTTGGGATGCACTGCCCAGGGAAGTGGTGGAGTCACCATTCCTGGAGGAGTTTAAGGAGAGGCTGGATGTGGCACTTAGTGCCGTGGTCTGGCCAATGTGGTGTTGTTGGGTCATGGACTGGACTTGATGATCTCAGAGATCTTTTCCAGCCTCAACAATTCTGTGATTCTGGGCATTTTTGCTGCTTTCAGTCCCCTCAGTTCATGACAGTCATCTTCCTGCCATCTTGCTCACCACAGGACTACAAGGAAACGCTCTGCTCTGGTGCCTCTCTCCCACGTTTTTCACCCCAACCATGTTCCTTTGCTTTCCTCTCACGTCCTCCTCCCAACAGGAGAAACCTTCT